GGAAGGGGTTTCCATTCTCCTACATTGATTTACTTATTTACATCAGTAGGGCCTCTTTGGTTCTCTTTTTTGTGTGTGGATTCTCACTTTGTTAAGTGTGTTATAGCTCCTTACTATTATCATTTCTTTTCATTCTCAAATTCTCTGAGAAATAGTCATTAGGCGTCCCTTGCAGCTGGCTCCTGTGTCCTTTTGACACACCACATCATTTTCTTAGCAACTGAGTCCTGCTTTGATCCCCATCTGAGTCCTACTCTTACATGGTTCACGTGGTATCCTGTCTGGGAGTGATGGGCAGCTTTGACTGGAAGGGATCTGATGGGGATTAGTGTGGGCTCTGGCACTTGGTCTGAGCCACAGGAGGGGATAAGACCAAGGGGGTTATGCAGTAACCATGGGGCACAGCTGCTACAGAAGCTCTCAGGCTCTGGAGTACATCTCCCAAAGAAGAGTACCGAACGCAGCAAGAAGCCATTCTGATCTGAGCTGCTTAGCCCCCATGGTTCTGGAATGGGCTGGCTCTGGGCTACCCTCTAAGGGTCACAGGCAGACAAAGGTGTGACTGAGAAAGTAGATGTGGACCCAGGGCTGACATGTAAGGTTAGGCAGCTTGTGCACTGCACACATGTGGCTGTATCACATTGTGCATATATATTTATATATTTATTTTCGCATTTTTTTCCCCTAGCAGATGATGATAAAATTTTTCTATTAATAAAACAGTATATTATGACAAACTGACAGTTTTGAAGAAGGGAGTGCTTTTAAAAAACAAAACAAAACAAAACAAAAAAACAAAAAACAAAACAAAAATACAAAAACAAAACAAAACAAAAAAAAGGGAGTGCTTTTAAAAACAAAAATCACACAAAGGTGCCTCATAGCCAAGCCAGAGTTCCTGCCACAGACCCATCCTGGGGGTAGTAGCTGTGCATGTTGGGGAACCTGGGGTCTTGGCTTCCATCCAGCCACATGTTCCCCATGCCCTATAGCGGTGGTGACACTGATTGAGGATGGGAAGAATGGCTCCGTGTCGGCTGAGTCGACGTCGCACAGGTGGCGAGGTCCTGGCTGCCGGCCGTCTGACAGCTCCTACAACAGCCTGTACTCCACGTGTCTGGAGCTGTTCAAGTTCACCATCGGCATGGGCGACCTGGAGTTCACGGAGAACTATGACTTCAAGGCTGTCTTTGTCACCCTCTTACTGGCCTATGTGATTCTCACATACATCCTCCTGCTCAACATGCTCATTGCCCTCATGGGCGAGACGGTCAACAAGATTGCACAGGAGAGCAAGAACATCTGGAAACTGCAGGTGGGTGCTTGGTGGGGCGTGTGCAGCGCGAGGGGGTCCCCTGCAAGCTTTGGGGAGGGTGCAGGAAGCCTAGCCAGGCCGCGGGCTCAGGCAGCAGCCTCTCCCTCAGTTGGTTCCCCCTGGCTCCTCCCACAGGGGTCCCTGCCCAGGGTCACCAGCGGGTGTTTGCAGACTCTGTGTCTACTGTGGGCTGGGCAGTCCCTGGGGGGAGGAGATGGAGGGTTCAGCCCCACGGGGGTGCCTGTCGCAGAGGAACTCCATCTAGAGTGGGCACCAGAGACCAGACTCAGGAAGCAGCTAGTATGGGATGGGCCCTGAGAGCTGCCTCTTTGAGACACCTGGTCTACATCTGCCTTTCCAACAAATAATAAAAGCATCATTCTTATTAAGTAGCACTGGCTCTATACCAGGTACTGTTCTAAGTGTCTTACGTACGTGCTCTCTTTAATCCTACAATAATGCTACCAAGAGGGCACTCTCACTCTCCCCGTTTTTGGGTGAAGGCATGAGGCATTAGAGAAGTTAGGTATCTGTGTCCAAGGTAACGAGTAAGTAGCCCAGCCAGGACTCGGCACAGGCGGTCTCACCCCCGAGCCTCTGCTTTTAGCCACTACACTACGTTGCCCCTTTATGAGCTCCTCAGGGGACAAACTGGGACTGGCACACTCCATCTAACTCATGGTTGCCCTGCCCAGACCCGGAAGGCACCAGCAGCGCCTGTGCAGGTCTGAGCTCCATCCGTGGATTGTGCACCCGCCTGGCTGTGGGAACCAGCCTGGTGCAGAGGGTTCTGGAGGTCTGGCTTGGAGGCGCAGGGACGGGGAGAGACCCTGCAGACGCTGATCTTGGCAGGTGGCACTGGCAGCCAGGGGCGGCTCCTGGATGAACCCTCTGCCCCTCTGCCTTTTGTGTCGTCCTGCAGAGAGCCATCACCATCCTGGACACGGAGAAGAGCTTCCTTAAGTGTATGAGGAAGGCCTTTCGCTCAGGCAAGCTGCTGCAGGTGGGGTACACAGCTGACGGCAAGGACGACTACAGGTGGTGTTTCAGGTAATTCCCAGGCAAGAATCAAAGCTTGGGGAACTTGGGGGCTAAGCTATGGATATTGGGACCCACCCAGAATCAGCTGTGGGTACAGAGGCCTAACTCAGGGCTCACCTGTGGGCCTGGGGATTCACCCAGAGCCAGCTGTGGGTACAGGGGCCATTCCAGGGCTTAGCATGGGTATGGAGGACCCACCTGGAACCAGCTGTGGGAACATAAGCCTTTCTCAGGGTATCTTGGGCCCAGTCATGAACATAAAGGACTCTCCCAAGGCAGCTGTAGGTACAGGGGCTGCCCTAGGGGTTGACTGTGGGCATGGGGGCCCCACCATAGATCCCAGATGGTGGCACCAAGACGTGAAATACTGGTAAATGAGGTGTCCAGATGGGGTCACCTAGCGATCAGGGTCGGAACCAGGAATCCAATCTTTAAAGTTCCTGGGTCCCACAGTGTGGTCAGAGAACTCATCTTCAGGAGTGGTGTCCAAAAGGCAGACCCCTCCGCGCCCTCCTCTCGCCAGCTGTGTCTCCCCATCCTGGTCTACGGGCGTGGCCTGCGGGGCGGGGAAGCTGGCTGTGGACCACCAGCTCCCTGCTCCCTCACCTCCTCCCCTTGCAGGGTGGACGAGGTGAACTGGACCACCTGGAACACCAACGTGGGCATCATCAATGAAGACCCGGGCAACTGTGAGGGCATCAAACGCACCCTGAGCTTCTCCCTGCGGTCGGGCCGAGGTGAGGGGAAGGTGGGCAGTTGAAGCCTTGGGGTCCCCCACCCCTGGAGCAGCCCCAGGTGTCAGCCACCCACACAGTCATGGGCGCTCCCGTGCTCTCTTGCACGCCTGCGCAGCCCACTGCTCCGTGTGCCCGTGCCCGCTGGCTCTGCACGCCCCCCTCGTTGTCAGTGCCCCAGAGGAAGCCATCAGCCCACGTCCAGCCTCCCTGTGGGTGCCCTGTCTCCTCTTCCCTAGTCCTCACACCCAGAGTCTGTCCTCAGCTCCGTGAGGCTTACGGACACAAACAGGGACTCTCACCCGGCCCAACACATCCAGGCAGGCAGAGGAGGGAAGAGTGGGAGGAGAAAACGTACACCTTGAACGGAGGAACCGCGTGGAAAATCACCACCAAAAAAAAGTCCTTTCATCATTAATGGTAAACATTTTAACAGTGGACATGAAATGAAAGGTCCAATGGAAGATATTTACCTAAAAATGAGGCAAACCTAGTCTTATATTGAACACATTTTGAGTTATAATTACAACCCTGCACTAAGTCTGTTTTTCTTTTTTTTTAAAGTTGTGGTGAAATATATATAACATGAAATTTGCCATTTCAATCATTTTTTTCAAAGTGTACAATCTGGTGGCATTAATTATATCCACAGTGTTGTGTAAGCATCACCCTTACCTATTTCCAAAATGTTTTCATTATTCCAAACAGAAACTCTGTACCCATTCAGCAGTTATCTCCATTTCACCCTCCCCCCAACCTCTCTGTTCTACTTTCTGTCTCTATGAATTTCCCTATTCTAGGTACTTCATATAAGAGGAATCACACAACATTTGTCCTTTCGTGTCCGACTCAACAATGCTCCATTGAATGTATATACCACATTTTATTTATCCATTCATCTGTTCACTGACATTAGTATTGTTTTCACCTTTTAGCCTAGTGTGAATTATCCTGTGAACACTAGTGTACAAGATTCTTTTTGATTTCCAAATATCCAGTCTTTTGGGTGGTAGTAGAACTGCTGGATCATGTGGTAATTCTAGGTTTAACTTTTTTGAAGAACTGCCAAACTGTTTTCCAAAGCAGCTGAGTCATTTTACATTCCCACCAGCAACATACCAGGGTTTCATATCCTCACCTACACTCGTTATTTCCTGTTTTCGTTTTGATTATAGCCACATCCTAATAGGTGTGAAATAGCAGCTCATTGATTTCCATAATGACTCTAATGATTTTGAACATCTTTTCATGTGCTTATTTGCCATCTATAGCTATTCTTTGGAGAAATGCCTATTCAAGCCCTTTGCCCATTAAAAAAAATTTTTTTTTAATTGTCGAGTTATAGGAGTTCTTTGTATCTTCTGGATATTAATTCTTTATCAGATATATGATTTGTCAATATTTTCTCCTATTCTGTGGGTTGCCCTTTGATGTACAAAACGTTTATTTTGGTGAAGCCCAATTTATCCATTACTTTCCATTGTTGCCTATTCTTTTGGGGTAATAGCCAATAAATCATTGTCAAATCCAATGTCAGGGAGACTGTCCCTTGTGTTTTTGTTTTTTTTTTTAAGAGTTTTGTAGTTTTAGCTCCCTAACATTTTGAAGTTGCTATAAACCTTGGACTGTTTCCCAGAGTTCTGACTGCATTGGTTCTAAAGTTTCTGTCTTTCTAAAAATTGTTTTTGTGGAGGCATGGGTGTTTAGAGCTGACTACTTTGTCAATTTGCCGATGTTGCTAATTCTTTTCTTTAATTTTTAAAAACAAATTTATTTATTTTATTCATTTATTTTTGGCTGCGTTGGTTCTCGGTTGCTGTGTGCAGGCTTTCTCCGGTTGCGGCGAGCGGGGCCTACTCTTCGTTGCGGTGCACGGGCTTCTCATTGCGGTGGCTTCTCCTGTTGCAGAGCACGGGCTCTGGGCATGTAGGCTTCAGTAGTTGTGGCATGCAGGCTCAGTAGTTGTGGCTCGCAAGCTCTAGAGCACAGGCCCAGTAGTTGTGACGCACGGGCTTAGTTGCTCCTCGGCATGTGGGATCTTCCCGGGCCAGGGCTCGAAACCGTGTTCCCTGCCTTGGCGGGCGGATTCTTAACCACTGTGCCACCAGGGAAGCCCAATGTTGCTAATTCTTAAATGAACAAATGAATCAAGTGTTGATAGTTTGTTTTTTTTTTTTTTGGCTCGTTCGGGGAAAGGGCATGATTTCTCAGGCAAACTTGCCTGTTAGCATGACACTGCATGTTTGATATTGCTTCATAGAGAAGCTCATTTTTCATATTTCACAAACTTTAAAAAGTATACTTTATTGAGATGTAATTTACATACAATAAAATGCACACATTTTAAATGCACAGTTTGCTAAGTTTTGACAAATGTACACACTCAGGCAACCACTACCCCACTCAAGATACAGAACATTCCCATCACCCCAGAAAGACCCTCATGCCCCTTTGTAGTCAATTCCACCCTCCCCATCCCAGGTAACTATCTAATTTCTATCAGTATAGATTAGTTTTATATCAGCTTTTGTTTACCTGAAAATGTTGATTTCATCTTCATGTTTCAAGGTTATTTTCATTGGATATAGAATTCTAGGTTAACAGGGTTTTTGTTGTTGTTGTTGTTTTTAATTTTAACACTTAAACTGTGCTTCTCTGCTGTCCTCTGGCCTCCATTGTTTCTGATGAAAATTCACCCATAACTTGCATTGCTGTTCTCCTGTCTGTAGTGTGTCTCCCCATCCTCCCCCCCGCCCCCACCCCCAACCCCAGCCCCAGCTGCTTTCAAAACATTCTCTTCGTCTTTGGTTTTCAGCAGTTTGACTAAGATATGCTTAGGTGTGGTTTTCTTTGGTTTTATTCTGCTTGGGGTTTGCTGCGCTTCTTGGATCTGTACATCGATATGTTTGGAAACTATACACACTTTGCTTTAGTCTCCCTATCTGCTCCTTTTACATGCATGTTAGACCATTTGATATTGTCCTGTGGGTTTCATTTGTTCATTTCTCCTCAATTTTTTTCTATTTCTCAAATTTGATAATTTCTATTGATCTGTCTCCAAATTCATTGACACTTTCCTCAGTCATCTCTAAACTGCTATTAGGCCCATCCAGTGAATATTACATTTCAAGTGTTAGGCTATTGGTTATGGAATTTCTATTTGGGTCAGTTTCTATTGACTGGTTTTTTTCCTGGCTGTGAGTCACATTTCCTTGTTTCTTGTATGTCTAGTAACTTTAAATTGTATACTGGGGATTGTAATACTATGTTGTAGAGACAGTTGATTGAATTTTTATCCTAGTTGGCAGTTCAGTTACTGATGAATCACCTTGAACTTGTGTAGGCTTAGTTTTAACCTTTACTGTGGTATACCTGTGGAAATGCCAAGGTATTTGCCAATCCCATCAAACTTGTAGGACTCAACCTCCAAACTGTTTCCACTGTGGAGCTTGTCGGGGCTTGGTTAGAGGCGTTTTAGGGTGGGTCTTGAGTAGATCTTACTTTAGTGCGTGTACAGTAAGTAGGGTATTTCTGGTATTTTAGCTTGATCCTCAGAGTAGAAAAAGGGTGGTGAGGAGGTCTCTCCACTGGCTGGGCTGGATCTCCAATATCCCTCAGTATGGCTCAACTTCTGGTCTCTCTATCCCACTTTCAACCTCATAGCATCCACTGTCTGAGAAGCCTGTGCAAGTACAGCCCAACTGTCAGCCAAGGACTTGGGGGGACCCCACCCCAAAGACTTCTGGACCTCTACCCCTACAGCTCCCTTCTTTCTCATCTCCTGCACCCTGTCCCACAGATTCTAGCTGCTTCGGCTGCTCAAAATTCTGCTCCCTTCTTCCTTAGCTCAGAGGCACTGCCACACTGTGCTTAGACTCCAGCTCACTGCTCACTGTAGTCTGAGAACTTGTCCCTAAGCAATACGTTAGGGCGATCACAGGGCTCACCCTGTGAATTTCACTTCTCTCAGCAACTGCAGCTTCTCGGTCTGTTGTCTTATGCCTGAAGACATTTGCTGCATGTATTTTGGCCAGTTTTATGATTGTTTATAGCAGGATGGCTAGCCCAGTACTAGATACTCCATCAGAGCTGGAAGTGGAAATCTATTTTATTAAGAGGCTTACTTTTGGAAAACTACTCAAGGCCTTCATCAGTGTTCCCGAGAGCCTCCTGCAGTCCTATACTTTCCCCACAAGTTTCATTAGAAGCACTCCCCGTGTCATGTCATAATACTTATTATCTCTTTTTCGGTTGTTAACTGGTCCAGCTTCACCACAGAGCCATTCAAAGACGGCTTTGCAAGTGGTTTGAGTAGTTTTCCAACGTTGCTCTCATTGATTTCATGAAACCACACACCTTTTTACAAGATTTGCTGTTTCACTTTGCAGTTGATTTGCACCGTGTTTGCATGACATTGTTGGCTGTTTGAGGCATCGCACATTCACTGTGCTATTAATAAAGACATTGATCCGGTGGCAGGGATACACACACACTCATGTTACTTGGGGAGGGGCTAGGAGATGGTTAGAGGATCCCTGGTTTCACACCTATGCTTAATTAGGGAGTATTTCCTGAGGATTTTGCTTTCCTATACAACCTCGTAACAGTGGAAACTCCCGTAATGAATAGTCAGATTATTCAGGTAACAAGGAACTCTCCCCACCCACATAGCACTAGTGATTGGGAAGGCGTGAGGGAACGCAAGAGAGAAAGGGCAGGGAGGAAAGTGGTCAGTAGCTGAGCTAAGGAGAGCACGTGAGGGGGTCTTCGTACAGGATTGTGGGAAGCAGGCACTGGGAGCCCCATGCCTGCTTTGAGGGCCCAGGGACTGGAGCTGGGCCAAGCGGTCTCTGAGCGGGGGTATCCCCACCATCCATCCAGCCAGAAGATGGTGTCTTCAGTGAGCACCTGGCCTGTCTCCCCGTGGAGGCTTCCTGCTTCTATGCCTTCCCTGAAACATCCTCCTGGTGCTTGTATCAGGCTGTGGTGGACGGGGGCAGGCCAGTGTCAGCCTGCGGGCCCAGGGGAAACCCGAGGCCTGGAGAATTCAGCTGGGAGGTCACAATGGGCCCAGCCTCCCATATTCCTGATGCCTTTGAGATGTGACCAGTGCAGGACACCAGCAGAGGAGCCTGAACTGTGGCCTGAGGGCGAAAGGTGTGAATTCAGGCTGGTTTTCTAGAAAGATCAGACCCAAGATGGCCAGGCAGAGGCTTGGCTGACCAGGGCTCTGGCAAGCGGAAGGAGAGCACGTACAGCTGTTCCTCTTGGCTGTCACTTCTCTGAGGTTGCTGGGGGGGGGAGGGAGGGGCTGGAGATCGCTCTGGGGGTGACAGTGGGTCCTCCTCAGGGGCTTCCTGGGATTTCAGGCCACACATGAGAGCCCACTTCAAGGCCCAGTGTCACCATGTTTCCCTTGGCATTGTTCCCAATCTGCTATTCCCTGGTGGGGCCTGAACCCCAAATCCTCATTCTTTGGCTGGGGTTCATCACCCTGCAGCTGACCTGGTGTGGAGCCGCTCCCAGGGCAGCCCCAGCATTGCTCTCCCTCCCACATGGGCAGGGAGGAAACCGAGGCTGAAAGCAGCAAGCACCGGACAATCCTGAGGCCACAGGCAAGTCGGGGTGGGGTCGAAGAGGAGAATTTAGGAGCTGCCAGAGCAGGTGAGCCTCCTTGATCAGGTGAGGAAAGAGGAAATGACACTGATCCCTGTGTTCCGGAAGCACCGATGTGCTTGTGCCCCCTTTTATCTGGAGGGTGCTAAGGCCAGCAAACGACTGTCTGGTATCGTTTTGCCCCTTCCAAGGCAGTCATAGTGTTTCATCTTTCAGCTGCAGGGAGGAACTGGAAAAACTTTGCCCTGGTTCCCCTCTTAAGGGATGCAAGTACTCGAGAAAGACACCCTGCCCAGCCTGAGGAAGTTCATCTGAAGCACTTTGCGGGGTCCCTCAAGCCAGAAGATGCCGATATCATCAAGGATTCTGCTGCTTTAGGGGAGAAGTGAGGGACCACACAGGGTGCTCTCAACCCTGTGGGCCTTAGGAAAGCCCACTGTCTCCGGTAGGAGGGTGTGTAGGGGCCACCAGTGATGCCTCAGCAGCCTGGCCCTACCAGCACCCTCCTCGCAGGCCCTTTCCTAGACGGCACGGAACAAGCTGCAGGAGGCATTGCTGGATGCACGGATAGAGATAGTCACGCAACCCTCACTGTCCCCAGCTGACTCTCCTAACACAAAAGGATATGGCTTTCCAGTTTTTACTGACTTTATCAAACATGGCCAGTGAGAAATCGCCACGTGCATGTATGCGATGCCCCAGTTTCCTTTGATTTTATATTCCTGGGAGTGAAAGGCAGCGAAGCCCAGGGAAACACCTTTTATTTATTTATTTATTTTTTTATTTTTATTTATTTATTTTTTTCTTGCGTTATGCGGGCCTCTCACTGTTGTGGCCTCTCCCATTTGCGGAGCACAGGCTCCGGACGCGCAGGCTCAGCGGCCATGGCTCACGGGCCCAGCCGCTCCGCGGCATGTGGGATCCTCCCGAAACGGGGCACGAACCCGCGTCTCCTGCATCGGCAGGTGGACTCTCAAGCACTGCGCCACCAGGGAAGCCCGAAACACCTTTTAGAACAAAACGCTTCTTTGAGATAAAATGCCGAAGCCCTTGTCTATTTTGTCCTTAATACCTCCCCTGTCCAGAGTGGTCTGGGGGTGACGATGGTTGCTCCTCCGAGAAGGTGAGGGAACCTGGCCCCATTCCCAGCTCTGCCAGAATCAGGTGTTTCCGGAGTGACTCCCTCCTTCTGTGTGATCCATCACAGTTCCAAAAATATTAGCTCTATCGCTGTTCAAATAAAAGTACAGAACCATGTCCCAAAGCCACGTGGCAAGAATTTTTTTAATGATCTTCCCTCTGTAGTGGCCATAATCCTGCTCACCTACAGTGGCACCTACTTCCACCTCTACCCATCCTGCCATCCATCAGATAAGTACATAAATAAATACATATGTCATATCAAGTGTGAACTCCATGTCAGTCATTGAGCCGGCGTAGCTCACTGGCTCCGTGTGGTCTGTGTGTGCACGTGTGTGTGCGTGTGCGCGTGTGTACTACCTTGTATGGCTAGGAGCCTCTGGTCATGCTTTAGTTGTTACCCGTGGGTGAGGGCACTCCTGCATGCATACACCTACCATAGTTAGCAAACTGTGGGCCAGGGACCAAATCTGGCCCGCCACCTGTTTTGGTTAACAACCTTTTATTAGAACACAAGGCAACCTTTCATTTCTGTACCGTCTCTGGCAGCTTTCATGCTACAACACAGAGCTGAGCAGTTGCAAGAGACTGAATAGCTTGCAAAGCCTAAAATATTTCCTTTCTGGCCCTTTATGGAAAAGTTTGAGGATCCCTGCTTTATGGACTAGAACGTAAGAAAGAATGATTTAGAAAAGCCCTCTGTCCCAAACACTGGAGGGTTTTGTTATGTCTGTGGCGTGTGGAATGAGCTGCCTAGTCGTGAAATTGTTGGATGTTGATTCTCAAGATGAAGGATGACATTAGCTGCGGCCGGGCTTCAGCCCTATTGTGAGAGGTCTATCCGGAGGGGACACTGGGACCCCCTCCTCCAAGTTCTCCAGCAGCACGTCTACCTCCACACACAAGCCCAGCAGAGGATCCTGAGTCTGGTTGACGAAGCGGCCAGGCGTGTAGTGAGCCATGGCCAGACCATGGCAAATGAGCATAGCGGAAGAACACTGACGGCTAGAACGAAGGGAGTGTTTATGTGATGTGCTCCATGTTCATTATCCTATAAGCCTCCTAATCGCCCATGAAGAGCTATTATTAGCTCCATTTTGTAGATGAGAAAACTGAGACTGGAACAGTTAGTAAGTTTACACAGCGAGTAAACAGCAATGCCTGGGTCTGATCCCAGGCAAATGTGACTCCAAAGCCAGAACTTGACTGTGGTGCCAGGCTGCATGGCAGAGAACGGGCTGGGGCATGCCAGCCTAGCCCAGGGTTGGAAGGGAGATGTGCGGGCTTCTGCTTCCTGTTTGGGTTTGGGACTCCTTGCTTCACCCGTAGGCCTTCCTCAGAAAGTGTGCAGACATTAGATATTTTCAAACGTCTGCAAATTGGATCAAACCTCCAAACTCAGCGCTGGAAGGAATCTTGTGGGTGTTCTTTTGTAAAATGAACGATTACAACCTTTGTGTAAACCCGGGTTGTTTAAAGGAGGACACACCTGCAACTAGCTTGGTCTTTTTTATCCGTTGCTGTCTCTTTTTTTTTTTTTTTTTTTTTTTTTTTTTTTTTTTT